CGGTATTGATGGGCAATGGTGGCAACGATTTAATGGATAAAGTTATTTACTTTTGAAATTTATGAATTTGAACGTTATTAACGTACTCTGTCATTTCAATTATTTCAAAAACTTAAGATTTAAGGTTTAATCAATTTTCTTCAATTATCAAATGAGTTTTGTTACCGACGAGGTTTTACAATTATAAATGCAATGTTTAAAATTTAGTTATTTTCGCGAATCTTTTTTAGTTAATTCAAGACAAATGAGAATGACGTGGCACTCCGGGTTTACGAAACTCAGGGCGTTACAATGGTTATGGCTTGCTTAACTTCAAAAATTCGAGGCGCATTTTGTTGAGCAAATCGTTGCTCGAGTTCTGTCCCTAGTTGCTGAGCAGTTTCAAAATCGGTTGTGCTCCACTTTGTGTCAACTGCCATAGTGTTTTGCATCCATGTAATCACCAAGTCGTTGCCCCTTAGCCAATGTTCCATGAGTGGGTCACTAGGATCTGCTGGTTTACTCAGACTTCCATCAATAAAACCTAACTTATTTTTAATCCTTAATGCCATCTTCATTGACCTTGCCCAAGAATGGTAGTTGTTAGAATCCAAGGTGTGAGTAACAAGCAGAGCTCTAGTATGATCATTGCTCCTAATGAAATATTGACTATTTGGCTATGCTGCATCATGATTCACAGCATCGATGAGCTGCTGGATAAATTGAAATTTGGATTTGGATTTTGAGTTTGTGTATTCCCAGCATTAGATTCTTCCATGCCATGCTCTGATACCATTTCAAGTATGTAAAAAGTGAAGCAAGGAATAGATAAAAGCAAGAACTGAAAGAGAATTAATTGTATTAATCTTGCTTGATGATCGAGATGTACAACGCCAGAAGAATGTATATACAAAATTTACACTATTCTAGAACAGTCCTTCCCATGCTAGAAAACGGAATTTACAACAGATTGCTAACAAAATTCCTAACAATAATCTTCTAGAGGTTTCTTCATTCTGTTAGCTTGTGGTCCAACATATCCGTTAGTTGTCTGCTGATGCTCCTTGCTAGTGCTGCTGGTTTCTTCTCGCTGGCTCCTTTATTTCAGCATCTTGATTATTTTCTAATATACTCGGATTTGAAGGCGAAAACTTATCTTGTGAACCATGTGAGGTAAGCAATTGTAGGCTTTAATATTTTTCTGCACTAGTACTCGGATTTTAAATTTTCGCTTTTTTTCATAAGTAATTTTGTCTCTTACATAATTAAGATATTACTCCTCTATCTCTAGTAATTATTTAGGGAAAAGTTAATTCATGCATGATAATCGATTTATCATTTGAGGATGATTTTTAACACAACAACCAATTTCAGAGGAAAGTCTAGTTCGCATGGATTCCCCCAAATCACAGCTCAATATTTGATGTACAGCTTTGGAAATATATTACCTCATAAGAACTATAAATTTTTTTTTTCCTGAAAATCACATTCTCGAATACATTTTGGAAAACGTTAAAAGGAGCGAGATAATAATTTTAAAGAAAAAGACGGTAAAAATGCAAAGAAAACATGGAACAAGAAAATTTAAGAGAGAGAAAAAGAAGATAGCTTCATTTGTATTAGCAACTTTGGAATAAATGGCTACCAATAGAGTTGATTCTTTGAAGCTAAAATGGGGATTCAATTAACCTCCAAGTATGTCTTTTGTGACAATGAAGAGTCTTCCAAAGCCCTATTTGTAAAATGCAAAGTTATTCCATTCACAAGTTTATGTGTCTCTCCTGGCTATATTCATACCCTGCACCATCATTTATGTTATATTTCTTTGGACAGAATGGAATGAAGCATATTTAAATACTGTGTACGCCACCGCAAGACAATCCTTATCATCTTCAACTACATGGAAAAATTGAAATATGTGAGTTAAAATTAATTCTTTCACTAAAGGTGAATTCTTAAAGTAAATTTTGATCAAAGAAGTTGGATGATGCTCCAAGGGCATATCACATGGTATATAAAGCTCCATTTGTCACGTCTCCATCTATTTTCATGTTTCGAAAAGTACTGCCCCTATTTAATATGTTAAAGCTGGTTAATAACAAAGTGTGGCTATGACAAGGTAAATTGGTTCAGCCTCAGTTGGCTTTGTCAATCTTCATCACTTTTGACGATAAAATGGAGAAATATCGTAAATTTAGAACTATATCCGTACTTGGACTCTTAGAGGGATACTTAAACCATTCCACTTATCATGGTAAGACTTCAGTGAATTCCGATAAGTAAACATATATGTATAGAAAATTGTTGTTATGGCATGTAAAATTTGTTCCACATATGTTGGCTTTGTTGATTTTTTTTTTTTTTTTTTCAGTTTCGAAGTCCACAAGGTGAAATATGGTAATCTACATGTTATATACATGCTAGGTCTTTCAATGGAGTAATTACATGAATTTCACGTTTGATTTATAAATGATAAAATTAATTCGATTATCAAGTTCTGCAAAATTATTAAAAATGACAATTATTTTTTGAGAAAACGTTTGTTAAAACAATGCGAGACTAGTAATTAGTTATAAGAACTTAGGACTAACATTTGTCGAACTTGAATTTACGAAAATTTGATATAGTATCAATACGGCACTATTATTATTATTATTTTTTTTTTTTGACATTGAAACCCGCAGCCGCTACCCGCCGATGAGCCCCGACCAATCCGAAGGAGCGGAGGCTTGACCATTGTGAGTGCGCAGTAGGTAAACCCCCCTCTATATGCAATAGCCTACAAATCACACAGGAGAGGTAAACTTCATTAGTGCGATGGTCTCAATCGAGGAAGCGTTGGCAGAGGATTCGAACTCGTGACCTTTAGTCTCGGCGTTCACCTACTCTACTAACTCGGTCATCCCCTGAGAGGTAATACAACACTATTATTTGAAGGACTAATCTTTGTTAAATAGTTATTGTAAATATATTTGATGAACGATATGCATTTAATTAAACACTATTTCCCCTTGTTTAGTGTTTTTCCATATAAGGTCTTACATTATTTTGAATTTAAACCTGCAATAAATTAGTTCAGGTACTCCAACAATAGACAGCTCATACCATTTAATTAAGAAACTAGACACGACATGATTAATTACTAATGAATTTATTTCTCTAACCTAATCAGGCGGAGATTCCTTTATCCTTGAAGTTATTTAAGAAATATGTAATTTATGTAGATAGTGGTTTTTACTACGGCTGAAACCAATTTCTACAGAAAAGAAGATTTTCTTTTGGGTTCTTTGGCTGCGAAAAAAGGTACTTAGTTAATTGCATGTTTCATTGTTTTGGTTTTTTTTTTTTTTTTTTCCCTTATTTTCTGTTGAATTTTTCCTTTAGTAATGCAACTTGTATTTATTTCATAAAAAAAAAGTAAGTTTATGATAATATTCGTACTCTTATATGTCTTTCCAATTTATTTCATCAAGTTTATACTTCGTGGAAATTATTTCTTGCTACCAAGTTTATAATTATTTCGGCATATTTTTTTCTTTTGTTAAACCTTGAATAATCTCAAGTACCCGTAACATATTTGAATTGGAAGTTAACATTGCTGAATATTCAAATCATACTCGTAGGTCATTTTATGTGATTAGATACTGATTTTAATTTTTTTTTTTTATTTAGCCCTTGTTTGGTTTGGATTGAAATTCAAAGCCAATAATTAATTTGAACTACATATTTAATTGGATCCACAACTTGTCAACCATACATTTCATCAACTTTTATCAAAATCTACTAAAATTTTGATTTTAATTTTTACCAAACAGGTGCTTGATATTTTAACGACAAATGGAACATCAATCACAAGATGGAAGCAAACTGCCTCGTTCAATTATCCCTTGTTTGCAAGATGGTAATCCAATTCACGAGTTATGCCCGAGGCCCGATGAACTGTTGGCTAATAGAGATATGAACTTCAGGTCTGCATGCTGATAAAATTTACAAAAAGTGCTTTTTCAATTTCCATAATATTTTCTGGGAAAGCAACTCTACCATCTCTATAGCTCTTAAGATTAATTCCCAACTTACAGGAAATTTGAATCTTGTTCAAACTAATTATTCTAGATTTTTATTTATTGTTTTGTTCTTGGTATCGACGATTGTTTCTGAAGTATTTTCAATTTTGTAGATCCTCACAAACAACAAACGCTCACGTGGAACTTCTCGAGTCACTTGCGAATCCACAAAGCCATCGAACACAGATAATGGGAACTTCATATTCCAGCATTTCACCAACTGATGTTGTGCGCTCATCTGAACTAAGAAGCATATTAAATCATACACATGGGCAGGGAGGATTAATCGCAGAAAATATTGGATTGAGCCGAAGTCAATCTGAAGTCCCCTTTCTTGACATTTCACAGGACCAATATTTGTAAGTAACTTCAATTGTTTTTCATTGTTATTTCCTCTTTGTTCCACAAAAATGGATGCAAAACCATAATTAATTTTCATGTCAAAATATTCTAGGCCGTAATTAACATAATTTTCTCCTTTCTCCATCTAGAGTGCAAGCATGTCAAATGCCTCTCAACAACGTTGTGCAACGGCCAGTTGATCAATCAACCCAGAGCACCTACATCACTAATGAGATTCAGTCCTATAATCTCCCCTTGTCAACTTTGCCTCCTGAGTTTCGTCTTCCGCTGTCTTCCATACTTGAAGGGCAACGTTTTCACCCACAAGTCTCTGTAAGGGCAAACACCTTGAGTCCTAGGATTAATTGAAAGTACACTGGATACAGGACAACTTTTACGCCGTGTATGGTATCCACTATTGACAATGCTACCCATGACAATGGAAAAGAGTTTAACTTTGTCTCCGACTTTAATCTTTTCCATTATTGTTCAATTCGTTCCAAATATGGAGTATCAATCTACGAGAATCTCACATTGTTCTCATTTAAGGTTGACAAAACGTGGATGTACACCATTTAAGCTTTTGGTGTAGCACAACCGGTTGTTTACATTATTTTTTCGATTTATGACACAATAATTGTGATCTATATCAATTGTTTTTGACTTTGTAATTACTAAAGATATTAGTGGTTTCAACAGATGTCATTCAGGAACTCAAGCTATATACAGTTAGTTGATGCTAACAAAAACCAAGGACATTGGTCATCTGTAGCACATGCAAATGAACAATCAACTCCGATGAGGTAATATTCTTGCATGTTTACTTGATATTAACATTGGGGTTAGTGAAAATCGATAATATTGCTCATATACTTGTGTATCTGAGAAGACCCCAAATGCTAAACTCCAAACTCCACATCCACATCCAAACCCGAAAACGCCAATCCCACCAACAATTCACGAAATTCTGTTATATATCGTATTATTCTAATATTAGGTATATTTATTGAGTTGTGATGATTTTGCATACTTTGATATTGAATTTAGGATGCTGAGTATTCAAGGCCATTCAAATCTTGCAAGTGGATCAAGTGGCTTTAATGTGTTTGATGGAAGTTCTTCTTACTCTAATTACCCACTTTTGTCAGCACAAAAGGTATGCGTTATATTTTCATGCCACTGTTATGTGTAGGTTAGTATAGTGAGTAATGTAATTATTTAGGTCAATAACATCTTTAACTTGTTAAAAACTTTCACTGTATTATCACTATTTAATTGATATGACTGATTTGCAGAGGAACACAAATCGGCAAGATGGTAAGGCTCTTCATCGCAGAAGTAGGAACCTTTCACGACTTAGGAATGATCAAGGTCATAGGTAAAATAGCATTTCATTTTAAAATGTTCATCAAATTTGATTATATAGTTACGTAATCATTATTTCTATGGCTTAACTGATATGCTTGTTCCAGATACTCGCTATACGATCCAATGCATGAAGCTATTGGGTTGGCTGTCGATCCACATTTAAGAATTTTTACCTTGAGCAGTAGAAATAATGAAAATGGTACTGGTAAGTGCCTTTACATAAATTATTCAGACATAACTTCCTAAAAGTTTTATATCTTTCTATTTGGAGCTTGACATTGAAGTTTTAAATGTTTTGAGCTAGTTTGAGAATGTGATTTAAATACCAGAAGATATTTGGGGATGAATAATTAAGGGAATGTTAAAAGTAAATTTGGACATCAAGGTTGGGTACAAACAAGAGTAATGCTATTCATAGTCGCTCACTGCAGCAGTCGCCCTATGTGACACATACATGGCATGTAGTTATTTGATGCATTAATGTGGTAGTTTTTTAACCACATTAATGCATTAAATACACACTTGACATGTGTATGTCACATAGGATGACTGCTGTAGTGTGCGACTGCAAATAACATTATTCTACAAACAAATGTCAAATAGAATCCGTAAAGGGGTCCCAAACAAGTCAAACATAATATTTCCCTATAAAGACAACTCAAAACCATTCTATACCACTCTACCTCCAATACGAAAGAATTTACACAAGCCCAAAATAGTTGTGTTTATTGAGAGAGGAGAAGATAGAAAGGATGTAGAAGAAAGCAAGAGGAAAATGCATTGGTTTTTCAGAAGTTCATATTTTTGATTAATTCAAGAGCAAATGGTGATATATGTTTCTTTGGTGTATGGCAAATTTTGTTTAATTCATGAAAACTTGATTCGATGTCCAAAGTTTAAACCAAATCCTACTAGACAAACTAAATGAAGATTGTAGTATTGTGTCGGGCAATATGCTTAGAATATGATTGAATTTTTTCTCTTTCAAAGTTCCCCGTGTTCAAGTAATGAATGGAAAAACAAAACAAAAAATTTTACAAAAATATTCATGTAACGAATATACTTTTATTCTTGTTTCTTTTTGAAAGCTGACATTGAATTTTCTTTAACTATCTCAATCAAACAAAAACTTTCAGGTAAAGCTTGTGGTCGCGGATATAAGAAATGATGCAAGGTGATTGCTTGTGTGAAGAGCAGGACAAACGTCAATGCATAAACAAAACAGCAAAGTGAAGAAGTATATTCGTTTTTTTTTTTTTTTCTAAACTTCGAAACTTAGGACAGGAATTTAATATGATTTTCTTTACAAATATGCTTGTTTTTATATTGGAAACATTGAAGTATGAAAAATAAGTTAGGCTAATCTTTGGGTTACAAGGCAGATTAATACATTTTGTTATTAGAGTTTTGCTTCTTATTTAGCCAAGATATAAGATTATTACTTATGTAGAAACAACGTCTAGATATGATTTTCCTATCATCCATATTTTTTGTCCAATCAGCATCTGAATATCCTACCGGATAAGAGTTTGAATATTTAGTGTACCATAAACAAAAACTAAATGTGCTATTAAGATATCTAATAATTTGTTTAAAGGCTACCATGTGAGACTCCTTTGGTTTGGTTTGATATCTTGCACAGATTCCAACATTGAAGGTTACATCAGGACGGCTTGCAGTGATGAAAGTCATGACTCTCAGGGCATATTATATATATATAAAAAAATAAAAATAAATGAATGAACCTCATAGTATTGTCAACCAAATAGATATAGACCAAAGTATTATTTACGAACATGGTTACCTTCAAAACCAAAAACAAATACAAATAAATTATATGCTAGTAATTTCATGGTCGAACTACTTAGTGTGGTTCACCAAACGTAAAGAGAATAAAATAAATGAAGAAATAACAAATAATTCACAGGACAATCAAATAACTTTCTTGAATCCAAAATATACTTTGAGCTCATCCTCAATCAGTTATTTGATTAAATGAGGATTCTTGTAAGGAAATGTTCTACAACTTTAGTCAAAGATAAAAAAGTAATGGAATATTAGTCAAAGACAATCCAGGTTCATTTCCTACAAGATCTCTATGACCACAAATTTAAGGCAATGTTCTAATGCGGAAAAATTATTAGGGTTCGTTTGATTACAAATGTAGAAAATGGGTGGAAAGAAAATATTTTACAGGAAATTGATTTACTTAAAAATTGTTTATTTGGAATTGTAATTAATTGTGTTTTATTGGTATTATTTTTCATGGATTGAAAGTTTGGTGTCCGTTTTGTTTCCTTTTTTTGCCAAAAAAGAACAAGCTACCATATCAAATACTATTCTTTTGGCTTTGTTTTACATGAAAATTGTCAATAAAAGTGATAATTATTTTTACCATTGTGTCTAAAAAATTTTCCAATTGTCAAAAAAAAATTAAAAAAAAATATTTACCAACCAAAACATCAAGAATTTGTTTTCTTCAAAAAAGTGGAAAATTTGGAAAGTTGAAAAAAAAATTCCCGGGAAAATTTTTCTTATCAAACACTACAAAAGTTGAAAAATGGAAAAAAAATTTACATTTTCTATGGAAAATATGGTGTATCAAACGGAGCCTTAGTCATTTATATTTGAAAAGGTGTGTTGCATATTTTGAGACATAGCTTCTTAATAATGAATAAACTACATCATAACTCAAAAAATGTGCACATCACAATTCATACGTCCAGGTTATAAATAAAAAATTGTTAAATGCATCGCTTGAGATGAAAGAAATTGTAGACCAGCCTTCCAGGATGGAATGGAATTTCAGGTCCTCCAATGACTTAAACAACACCACCAGCCAACTATGTGCAAGACGAGGATGAAAATAATTCAATTTCTCTAAAAATGATATTAAAAACAAAAACTAATGCATCTTTAAGCATGACGGGTATGCCATAAGAATAAAGCTAAGTGTACAATATTTGTTGACAACCATGAGATACCATAAATATGTAGTTGAAGAAATATTTGTAATGTAATTAAACTCCGCGGATCAACAAATCCAACTAGCGGGACCAATTTGTTTAGGCATACTCAGATCTACCACTTTTCCCATTAAATGGAGACCTACAATCGAATTTTATGGTCACCTATTAAACAGGTAATAATTTGCTATATATGTTGACCATCTATTTGGATATACTATACTGAAAGGAAGTTGGGATGTTGATCTAATTAGTCACCATACAGTAGACAAGCTTAAAGAGCAAAGTTAACAAGAAAAATCCAAACAAAGAAACCGACGTTCGAACATGCACCATGGTAGAATTTTGGGATTCTTTTAAAATTGGCCAAGTCAAAGGGGTCAAATTCAATTTTGACTTTCCCGCTATTGAATATTTCACAATTGGCATAATGGTGTACAAAAGACAAAAATACCCTTAAGTGAACAAAACAATCACAAAATATGGTTTTATTAAAAAGACAATGCTACCCTTTTATTTAGCAAATAAAAACCAAACACCCCCTACATAAAATTACAAATTCAGTTCAAACACAGATAAAAACTATCATCTTCTTCACTGTGAAAATCTCAAAAATATCGATAGCAGAAGGAAAAAATAGTTTTATGTCAATTACTACAAATCGGTAAGTATATTTTCCTATGTTTAATTTTGTTATACTGAAATATGTATGTTTTTACTTGATAAATTAAGATTCGACATAGGTAACACGCAAAAATTTTTTTTTAGTAGATATGTATAATATTTTTAACCATGAATGGGAAAAAAATTTATCTGCATAATTTTTCTTCTTAATGTTAAGAAATAAATGGGCGAAATCGCAGGCGAATTTTCGCGTGTTAACGGTGCTTTGTTTTTTTAGTTTCTGTTCCTAATTTAATCCGAATTTTCGAGTGTTCGTTTACAAATTCTGTTTTGCCATGCACAGATATGAGGCTTGTACTTCTGATTTGTTGTTTTGGTGATT